CGAAAACATTGTCTTGATCCTTCCAGTAATAGAAAATATTTTCTGATTTTACCGACAGTCAAACTGATTTTTTAGAAAGAGTGTTCGGTTTTTTCTAGATCAAAATTGATTTCCGGAAAATCATCTTTATTTTTTTTTCTGAAGTTGGAAGGAACTCGCTGACATTTTAGTCAAACGAGACGATGTAAAGAAGGTAAGTACTGTAATGTTGTTAGTTTATTTCACATTTACATCGATAATGGTTTCTGCGGCATTATGCAATATTATCTGTTTTTATCTTTCATTTAGAAACGTCTTCGTCTTCTGAACGAAAGAATCATGCAGTAAAAATATTTTTGACGGGTCATTCACTCCGCCATTTTGATTCTCTTACTCACGATTGAAATTACGATCATCAAATTCTTCATATTTATCATACAAAAATGCCTATTCAGACCATAGATGTGCTGTTCTTAGGCACGAAGTATCTTTGGTTAACTAACACGAGACCAAAATAGTTCGAGATGTTCATCGTTTATATTTTGAAGACAATAGCTATTTCAGTATAGATCACAGAACCTTCGAAACACCATTTTTCAGATTTTGGGTGTTCCAGCCGATCTCACGACCAAGTATTGTAAAAAGCAAGGCGGATCTTCGACAAGTTTTCTAGACAACCTCTGAAGATTTGTAAGCGAAATCGCAATATGACAAATAATTCAAATCTCCCTAAACTGTACAGCGAGCGAAACCGAGCTGGTTTTGAAATTCTGGAGGCAGTTTGGTTGAGAAATGCAGGTGCTAGAAGGTTTTCATTTTTGTCTATTAGTTCAGATATAAACTCTCTAATTCAGCAAGTCGATATGCAAAGGCCAATTCTGTTTCGATGAATGTCTCTCTAGCCTTCTTGAGCGCCATTTTCAATATCGAACTAAATCTTTCCAGTTATCATTTTGACTTGCAACATTGACGACTTTTAAAATGATGTTGGATCATCGGCTTTGATAATTGAATCAATAGGTTTGACAAGATCATTTCTTATTTACGCATTTGCTAATAAACTCCATACACCTGGTTCATTACATCGTTCTGCAAATCCGTATGCTCGATCCAAATTTTTAATATTATCAATTAAAACTTGAATAGTTGATGTCTTTACTTCAAATTTTTTTGTGGATTGAAAATCTTGTATATACAATTGATTACTAATAGCAATATTTGCTATATCCAGTGCATCATAATTTCCAAACAATTTACATAATTCATGACACGTGAACGATCGGCTTTGATTGCTGTTAATATCAGTAAAGCTTCTAGATTTCGATGTTCACTAAATACTGAATTATCAATAACAATTTTTTCTAATAATTCGATTAAATTGTTTGGTAAATCAACCGTCATAAATGCTTTAACGGTAATCGAAATTTGTTCTGGATCTTGACTTTTGGCTAATACAATTTGACTAACTTGCTTCAATTAGAGGACCGCGATATTGATTATCTTTACATAATAGTTGTTCCCATAAATTAGGATCTCTACGACGAGCGAAATAGCGTACTTCACTTCTAAATAATGAATTTTCATTGCAAACACTGATGAATTCTATATCGCAACCACCACGTTCATGTGGAACACATACCAAATGTGGATCTCTTCCTTCACAATATTTTCCCACTACACGATTATCGTAATGTAGATTATCACGCGGAAATTTCCCCGGCTTGCTGTTTGAATCAATGTATATTTTAGCAATTGTATTGTGAACATCGGGATCGTCTGATCCATCACGCACTTGTGTTTCCAACCATGATTGCAGCAATTTCATTCCATTGCGTTTTTCAACTTCTTCAACTAGTTCATCAACGTTAAAATCTCCCCGAACAGAAAATATTAACTGTATGATGTTGCCTTCACTACAACCAACGTCTAGAAGACCATCAACAAAAACGGGCTTTGATAGGTGCAACATATTTCTTTCCCATAAACAATTTGTTAGTCTTTCGTCCCATCTTGAAGAAATGCCTCTGCTGCATATGTTTCGGTCTCTGAAGGAAACTGAAGGGGCAGAACTCATTAGGTCTTATTCATTCACCTATAAAAAGTCTCAAACCAGATTCCAGATCACTTTCCAAATTATCAATATAAATTAAAAGCAACAACGATCCTAAAATCGCTCCTTGTGACACTGCATAAACTATTTCCAAAAAATCCGAAGTGCAACCCTCAATACAGACGCACTGAAACAAATTGTGGGCGCCGAATCGCATTATAATTGTTTTTTCCCTAGACTGCTGATGTCAACCGAGAAAGTTTACAAAACAATCGAACGTGAAGCATTAGTCACTTTTTTGGTGCATGAAAAAACTGGAACAATATTTGGGTATAAGAGACGTCATCATCCATACGGATCACTAACCACAAGAGCAATTTCACAAAAAGAATAAAAGTAACGGCAAACGAATCGAAGAATGGCTCCTCAAAAATCAAGACATCATTTCGAAAATCATCGATGTCAAATACAAGAAAGGAAGCACTTCATGGCGATGCCGACGGAATGTCAAGACCGGAGCTCAATAAACAAAAGCGTTTATTGAATGCCATCATGAGATTAATTTACAAACTCGCCAGCCACCTATTACCTATTACAAATGACACCAGCAACAAACCATCTTCATCCACTAAGAATGCTCATGGAGCACCAGCGCCGACGATACTTAACTTCAGTCCGGCCGAACTACGCACCCCACCGCATAATAGAAGACCACGAGGTCTTCAATTTTGTCCCGCAAGTCGAGTTCTAAAGGATGGTCTTTTGCTCTTGGTTTTGCTCTTTTGCCTTAACCATCATGATCTAGTGTTTCTCAGCGATTGGGACCCTCGCCCTCGATATCGACTCTTTCATAAGAATATTACCAATTGTCTTACAAGATCCTTATTGAAAAGGATGTATTCACACTCAGTTTTCAGCAGC